GTGGTCATAAGGTGTAACCAGACCTGGGTCACCCCAATGATACTGCTATTACATAAATTATGAAAATAATCCTGAAATAACCAAACCATTTCTGGTCCTAAAGCCATTTAACACCAAGGGATATTCAACCTTGTTGCAATAATTCCATCTTAGTCATTTGATTACCTGAAGAAATCTGAATGTAATCATTCCCCTGGAAAATGGAGAAGAAGGAAAAACCTTTCCTAATGCACATGAAGAGGGGGAAGAAACTTAGAAACTGATTAATGAAATTGTAGTTTTAATGTGTAAGCATTATGTAGTACATTTCAAAATTTCATCATTGGGGTTAAGTTGGTGAAAACCAGTACTATATTTCATCAAACTGGAAAAAATGTACCTGGTTGTAACACCCTACTTTATTTCTCATTAAGAGAGTAAAAAAATGTACTCTATTACATAATGAATACTCATTGGGCTGTAGAGCCATCTCCAATTTCAGAAAACCCATTACAATGTAAAGTACATAACTTGCAATAATGAAGTTTAGAAAATATGATGAATAATAGATGGTAATATACAATGGGTAAAACAGCCTTAGGAAACTAAAATCAGTTCTCAGAATATCTATTCTAGGTATGCTTCACGATCAATGACGACTTTCTTCAAGCAATAAAACAAGAGAATTGGGTCGGTCAAGTGTTACAATTAGTTGGTGAACCATGTTCAATCTGTATTCTAGAGCTTCTGTTGTAATTGTAGGTCAGAGTCGCCAAGACTATGAATTGCCAAAGCCAGTTCTAGCCTACGCTCTTCCAATCCTTATAGGACAAAAATCTAGATGATGAAACCTCATATAGAATACCAATTTGCTCAATTAATGACAGAATAGAGCAGGAATTATCGAACAATGATGCTGAATTAAGTATCATGGAAGTCAAGAGATGGTCACGTTCAACAGCCCCAGGAGTGGCAGGGCACAGTGCTCAACCTGTGCATCCCAGCCATTTGGGGAGGCCTAAAGGCCAGGGTGATCACTGAGGGCAGAGATTTCAAGACCAGCCTGGGCCAACAATGGTGTAAACCCCAACCTTACTAACAAAAATTAGCCAGGCGTGGGTGGTGGCAATGCCACCTGTAATACCAGGCCTACTTGGGAGGCTGAGGCTAGACAATTGCTTGAACCCGGTGAGCAGGAGGGTTGCAGTTGAAGCCAAGATCATGCCATTGCCACTTCAGCCTGTGGTGACACCAGTTGGAACTCCGTCAAAAAAAAAAAAAAAAAAAAGCCCCAAATCATTTGCTATAGTGCTATTGCTACCACTACACATCTTGACACTGTCTGCCTTAGTGGACAAATCTCTTCATTCTACATGCCAAAAAATATATGTAGTAGAAAAACTACTCACCAGCACTTGCAATGGTATTAAGGGAAAAGATGGGCTTTTCTTCTGTCTTATAGGAGATGACAGACCTAGAATTGACAAAAGCAAATGTAAATCACAAAGTAATTTTTAAACTGTTATTTCAAAATATGAACAAAAACATGAACATAAAAAAAGCTTTGATTTCTAAATCTTTCTTGCCTGAATCGATTAAAGATGATGGAGCCTTCATCAAATTCATATCCAGAATTTAGTAATTCAAGGGCAATGACTGACGCATCTCCAAAAGTGGGGGGCTTTCTTCCCACTTCTTTGAATGCCACCAGAAACTGGTCAGAATGAGTCCTATGAGAAAAGCAAGAGCTCACATAGCTAGTTTAACAACACTTCCAAAAGAGCACAGGGGACGGGCAGGAGAAAACATCGTCACCATGGATCAGGTCTTTTGGGGTGTGGGTGCTGGTGATTTCCTGAGTTGTTCCACACACTATCATAATTCCTTTCCCTCAGCACCTGCAGAGAACTAAGAACTAAAAATGAGGTCTGTCTTGTTTTATATTCGTTTTGCCTTTATTCCTCTTCTTCTAATCCTAATGAACTATTGCCAACATTTCCAGGCTGGAACAGCTCCTCAGATGCCTCATTTGGCTGAATGCTGATAGCTTTTGATATTCACATGGCACTCAACTTATGATCCAGATGAAGAAGCAAAGGTAGAAAACAGGGGAAGGAAAACAGAAATGTTCCAATATATCCTGGAAAAAAAAAAAAAGGAAACGAACACCTCCCTGTGAGTATACCAAAAAAGGCCCTGAAGAATATACCTTGTTTAATTAAACTATCGACGAAGGATTTCAGAGTTTGTCAAAACTTCTGCGAGAAGATTTATTCATGCTTGCACCTTTATGAAAATAAACAATATATATTTAAATTACCTATAAAGTATGCCTCTGATTTTGTCACCAATTCCAACAAGCATAACTTCTTTCCCAGCTGCTGTTAGCGTAGCAACCTCACTTTTCATCTGTTTAGCAATGGAGGAATGAATAGCACCACACAGTCCTCGATCTGAGGACACACCAATAAGGAGGTGTTTCTTCTTGTCTTCAGGAAGCTTGATATCAGCTTTTTCATACAAAGCTTAAAAACAAACAAAAGCAGTAAGTTTTATATGCAGTTTACACTAAGTACAGTAAATATCCAATTTACAAAGCAGTTGGTTATTTTCAAAATATGCATTTACATTTAGCTGGCAACTGCCTAGTATAAGCAAGTGTTCTTAGGACAGCTGTAAGTTGAGGCCAGGAGTGGTGGCTCATGCCTGTAATCCCAGCACTTTGGGAGGCCGAAGTGAGTGGATCACCTGAGGTCAGGAGTTTGAGACCAGCCTGGCCAACATAGTGAAACCCCATTTCTATTAAAAATACAAAAATGAGCCAGGTGTGGTGGCGGGGCTGTTAATCCTAGCTACTGGGGAGGCTGAGGCAGGAGAATCGCTTGAGCGTGGGAGGTGGAGGTTGTAGTGAGCTGAGATTGTGCCATTGCACGCTAGTGTGGGCAACAGAGTAAGACTCCATCTCAAAAAAAACAAAAAACAAAAAACCACACACACACACACACACACACACAAAGAAACAAAGGACAGCTGTAAGCTGAGATTATTGAAGATTTGGTAGATAAATGGGGGTTCACTGCATGATTTTCTTTACTACCAAATTTGCATAAATCTTCCTTAAGTTAAAAATTCTTTTAGATACCCTCAATTCCGGATAAGATAGCATGATCATAAAAAAGGTAAGAGAAAGAATGTAATTACAAGTTAAAATAGAAACTTCTTTCCCATTTCCAGCTCTTTACAATTTTATTTCCAAGATAAATTCATAATCAAATAAGTATAAAAGCATTTAAAAACACAATATAAATTCTTTTTAAACTGCCGTATCTCTTTTCCATTAAGAAGACTAATTAAGGATGGATTACATAAATTTCTGAAGGAAAAATGTCTTCATGCTTTTGAAAAGATAAGAATGGTGATTAAGTATCTTGAAAATGAAGGTTCTCAGCTGCTTTTCCTGCTTCAACATCATTCGGATTCGTCTCACAACACCATCAAGAGTCATATCCATGACCACCCAGTCAGCTCTCCACTGCAATGCCCCCTACCTGCCCCCACTGCAGTCCTAAAATGCCACACTACAAGGTCATAGGATGAAATTAAGCCCTTGCACCTAATGCATGGTTTCCAAGTTCTTCTGATGGTATACTTAGTAACCGGGAAAATTTCAGAATATTTTAAAAGTTAACATGGTCACGTATAATGGTTAACAAATACACAAGCTCTGACACCAAACCACATAGGTCCAAACAGAGGCTCTTCATCCTTTTATATGTGATCTTAGGCAAGTTACTTAACTTCCATGTGCTTCAGTTTTTCTCACTGGAAAGCAGGGATTCTAACAGTTCCTACCTGCATGGGTTGTTACCGTTATGTGTCAGGTGGATATAGATGAAAAATAAGTACATGTCAAGTACTCGAATAGGCTTGACATCACTGTAAGCTCTAGATACAGGTCATCAGTAGTCTTCTTTGTGTTAAACAGTTCTTCCTAATTTGTGAATTACACTCTTCCCTTACCCAAAGATCCCAATCCATATATTCGAGCTGGTTTCAGCTCTCTCTCAGCTCGGGCATATTTTGCTGCTGCTACCATTTTCATAGACTTGGTAATTGTGGGTCTGGGTGCGTGGTACGTGTGGGACCCGGTAAACCATAGATGCTTATGCGGACATTCATATATAGCAATAGATGTACGGAATAGTTGTGTTAGGAGGCCATTGTTGATACATATCTTAATGTTTAAAACTGTATGCAGTCCATTGTCTTAGTGTTCGCCATTTGCTTGTCCCTACAGAGTACTGCTAGCTTGCCTTCCTTTTATTACGTAACTAGTTTACAGACTGGTTAGCATCCATGGCCTGCTTTCGTGCTTTAGTCATAAGTGCTTCCAATGTACTGCGTGCGCGGGACTTCAGTAAAGATATTTCAAGTAAACTTCACAAATGAGAGTTACGACGGTAATTCCTTTGTCTTAACACCAGTACTTCATTTTCTGCAGTCTTACCAGCCACCTAAAGTCCACTCAACAAGACATCCAGAA